TGATGTAGGGTAAAGCGTACGAACGGGAAGGATAAACGAGATAACGAGATACTCTCTCGTAAAACTCACAAATCAACAATATCTTATTTCATTTCAATAATCAACTCCTCAATAACAAAGAAGAAGGAGCCTTTAAATAAAACTCCTAAAGCCCTAAACCTAACTTATTTATCAAGCTACTAAATAATAATAATAATAATAATAATAATAATAATAATAATAATAATAATAATAATAATATTTATTAAAGTATCCGCATCATTCTCCTCCGGTTCGGAAGGCTTCGCCCTCGAAGCCGATGTGCACCCGTGGCCGGCTTGTGGTATCAAACCCGAACCCTTGTTAGGAACCCCGTCATCTTCCCCGGTCGAACACGAAGGTTGAACGGCACTGTGATCTACCATGGCGAGCCACATAATTCTCGGTTGCGCGAATGACACTTTCCACTTCTGCACTTGAGTTATCTGGCCAACATAAACAAATACTTCGGAACCACAATCCAATAATCAACATTTTTTGTTTCCGAGAATCGATTTGGAAAGTGCACCATCGTCAACAATGGCAACCTCACACTGCCCTTCATGAAACTGCTTCAAAATATATAACCACGTGTCTTCTTCAACGGTATTGATAGCAGCAGTTCCAGCTTCATCCTTCAGCCCCGAAGGCTCCTTATCAAAGATCGGCGGACCGTCGTAGAGATTGTCCACTTAGCTGGTAAGACGCTCATCCACCTCATCGGGTCCTTCATCAAACACAGGCGGACCATCGTACAATGGCCCGTCCACTTTCTCCCCGTCGAATTCGGAGATGTCAATGCTAAATGGGCCCTTCCATCGACCATATTCGCGATCAAGCCTCCACCGTCGGACACGATATCCGCCAGCGAAGGCTGCCTTCTCGCGCCAGCCCATGTCGTTGCGTTAATCGTCGCCGTCCTCGATGCCGTTCAGAGGTGGCGGGAACCGTTGCTGGGGCGCCCCGACATGGCTGCGTCCCCCACAACCGCCTCTGTCTCCCCTGCAAAAGCCACGACCCACAACCCCATCGCGGTTCGTTTGCAATTCCGAAACAACCATGTTGTTAAGCGTCAAATGCAAATCCTCGATACCCGTCGAAAGATCAGAAAACCAATCCGTGAAACGCACGTCCAACTCTTCAAATACGTAGTCAATCTGTTGAAACAGATCGTAGAAGATTGCATCACGTTGTTCGTTTGCGGCATCTTGTCGTCCCGGCGACATCGCCCATAACAAAGAAGAATGAGCTTTTAAATAAGACTCCTAAAGCCCTAAACCTAACTTATTTATCATAATAATAATAATAATAATAATAATAATAATAATAATAATAATAATAATAATAATAATAATAATAATAATATTTATTAAAGTATTCGCATCAGATGATCACTGTCCCGTGCATGCATCGCACGTGGTACGTACTAATATCTATCAAATATTCTAACAACATTCTAAAAAAGAAAAGAAAAAAAAAAATAAGAAAAAATGAATGTTATTGTCAAATATCCGGAGACAAGGCTAATTTATGTCTCTCTTAATTTATTAATTGTGGTAGATCACAACTTATCAACGTCGTAATTTCATTGTTGATAACACCCATAACACGTAAAGGCCCACTTTTTGTGGTGATACAATACGGGCCCATAACACGTAAAGGCCCACTTTTAATCCGGAGACAGGACTTATTTCTTTAATAATTTAATCAGACCCAGAAAAACCACCCTAATTTCCAAACGCGGTCTTCCCTTTATTGATGAATATTATTTTGTTTTTTTATTTATAAAAACATAACAAACCTTATAATAATCCCAAACCAATCAACCAATCACGGATAATCACACATGCCGAATATACAGTAGCCACTGGGCATGCACCTGTGGTTGCAGTAGCCGCAGTGCCTCTTGTCAGAGGCGAGGTCGACGCACTCCCCTCGGCAGCACGTCTCCGTAAACGCGCATTTCCTCTTGCAGCCCCCACAGTTGTTGTGGTCGTAATTTAGGTCGACGCACTTGTTGTTGCAGCACGTCGCGTTCTGTCCCGTCACGCCCGAGAGGTAGCTGCAGATCTCGTTGTCTCGATTGCAGTGGTTTGCCGCTCTACGGTTTGTCCCTCTCTGCTGCAGAAAACGGGCGGCTGGCCTTTTGGAAGGCGGCTGGGACGTGGCGGGGGCTGGCGGCGGAGGACTGTTGGAGTTAGTGGCTGTGAGGGTTACGATGGTGACTATAGATATAGCGATGGTGGCAAGGATGACGAGTTTCGGCGCCTTCATTGTTCTTCAGGATTAGTAATGCTTAATATAGTTTCTTCTTTTCGTTTTTTTGTTAGGTAATTTGTTGTTTGATGGTTAGATAGGAAAGAAAATTGCAATTGGTGCGATTAGAGGGTGGATATGTTATATAGAATATAGGGTTTGTCGTGTGAGGAGAAAATAAAAAAGTTGACGCGAAAATGGTGGTAAAGGTGATGGCTCTTAGGGCTGGTAGTGTTAGATGAATGGAGTATGTTGTAATTTAGTTTAAATTAAAGTTAGAATAAATAAAACGAAATTGACTTCGTGATTAGTATATATGTTCAGGTCAAAAGGAAATTTTGGAAAGAATTAAAAACCCTAGGATGACCGATAAAGCTGCCACAACCTTCTCTCCGACCACTACCCTGGTTGACCCGGGCGATGACCCGCCTGCTTCCGATTTTCCGCCGCTAGGCCAGCACCTCCAACCTGCCCCGAAACGCTCACGTATCCGTTCCCGCTCGGGTGATTTCCTTGCACCCCTGACCACTAAACCGCAGTCGGCCTTACCGTCTCCGGCAGTACACGTGTCCTCTCCGCCTCTCCCCCAGCGTTGGTCCTATCGTGACATGATTAATAAAAACCGCCACCACATTGATCTCCCTTCGGACGATGACAATGACGACCTGATTGCTGAGGGCGATTTCTCAGTGGATCTTTCGCCTTCATCGCCGGCAATTACAATTGCGCAACGATTTATTGACCAAATCTCCTTGGAATGAAAGAGTGTAGTTGTGGTTAAGCCCTTTGATGATGCACTATCGATGGCTTCACTGTATAACCGGCTAACCAAGATGTGGCCGTCTATGGCGGGCTGCAACATGATGGACCACGAGAACGGTTTCTACCTAATCCATTTTCGAACGATTGACGATGCAGTTACAGTCACGACCGGTGGGCCCTATGTTGTCGGCAATGGGTATCTGCATGTCCAACCTTGGAGCATTGATTTTGATGCAATGAAAGAGGAAATAACATCTACTGTAGCGTGGATCCGTCTTCCCGGGCTTCTCGCCCATCTCTACCATCAGAAGATCTTCCAGACGATTGGCCGTGTCATGGGCAAGGTTGTCAAGATTGATCAGCAGACGGCGGCTCGAACCCGCGGCAAATTTGCCAGACTGGCAGTACTGGTAGACCTGACAAAACCACTGTGCGCTACCTTCTTCATTAACGGGCGACAGCAGCGAGTGGTCTAAGAGAATATCCCGATCATTTGCTTCCACTATGGTCGGATTGGGCATTCTAGTGGGGCTTGCCTTTACAGCCCGACCCCACAAGAGAAGCAGACCAGCAATGCTACATCACATGTGGCCGATCCAAAGTCTACAGGAAGTGGTGAGGAACGCCCTGGTGAGAAACCGTCTATGCCAGTGGGTGAGCCCGAGCATGTGTATGGACCATGGATTCAAGTCCCACAACGGCCCCGTAAACCATACACCAAACGCAACAAGGGTGGTCATGAGACAACACACTACCAGACCCATAATCCGCCTCCACTCCCATCCGGGATGGGAACGCGCTTTGAGCTCTTGGGCAGGGAAGAGAATCAGGAGGACACGACCCCGGGTTTCATTTTCGGTGCCCCCACTGTTGAACGACCAGCGCCTGCCTCAACTTCGAAAGGAGGTCCACTTGGAGACAATGATTGGCGAGTGGTTGTGAGAAAAAGGTAAGAGAAAACGGAATAACCAAATTAGCGGACATAGAGGGAGAGAGGCAGCGAGACAAAACAAGGAGAATGGGGAAGGTACGTCGAGGTCCGGACCAATAGAGCAACCTGCTTCGAAACCGGTGCACCCACCGATCGAATCCAATGCGATGGAGAGCGTTGGGCCTGAATTTCATGTTGCTTCCAGAGCGCCGCCAGAGTTCATTCAGGTGGGTGCGGGGCTTGACCCGTCTAAACACCAGGCCATCATCATTTCAGACACTCCTAACCGACCCAATACTTTCAATGAGACCCGGACGGACCATGTGACTTTTGAAAATGCAGGAGACGTCGCCATGGTAGGCCCCACGGGTGGTGTTCTCCGTGAACCATGGCCGGGTGAATCTTTGTAACCTTGGTGTCATGGTGACGTTTCGACGACTGGGGACCCACCTAGTGACATTGAGGACGTGATGGTATCCCCGGACCAGCTTTAAGCCCGTTTTTCCGATCGTGTTCCTATCTCAACTGTGTTTCCTTATGAATATTTTCACGTGGAATGTTCAGGGTGCATGCTCGCCTACTTTCAAGGGAGTTTTTGCAACCTTAATGCAACAAGTTCGTCCCGATGTTGTAGCACTCTTTGAACCGCGCATAAGTGGGAAGAAGGCTGACTCTTTTGTTCATTTCATTAAGTTTGAGCATTCCTTTCGGATTGAGGCCCGTGGCTTCTCCGGTGGCATCTGGCTCCTGTGGACGGCGGAAGTGCAGATTGATGTGCTCGTTTGTACTAGGCAAATGGCTCACGTTCGGGTGACAAAGGATGCCGAGGTGTGTTTAGTCACTTTTGTTTATGCGAGCCCAAGCCCGACAAACCGCAAGCAGTTGTGGGCTGATTTGGGTAACCTAGCGTCCACTACCTCGGGTCCTTGGCTAATCGGGGGCGACTTCAACTGCCTCCTACGACGTTCGGAAAAGTGGGGAGGCGCTTCACACTTTTGCAGCGTCAGCCGGGACTTTATCGATTGGATATTAAATAATGGCCTCCAGGAAGTGCATACGGATGCACAACTATACACTTGGTTTCGGGACGGACCAAATGGTCGGGTTGCTGAAAAACTTGACTGTTTCATTGCCAATATAGGGTGGATGGAGAAATATAGCTTGGAGCGTGTCTGCCACCTCCCTCGGGCCGGATCGGATCACTCTCCACTCCTCATTGACTTCGGTCAGCGATACCACCGGTCGGCCGGACAAAAACCTTTCAGATTCCTTGCTTCGTGGTTGCTTCATTCGAGATTCGGGGATATGCTTAAGGATGCATGGCATCCCTCCGAGTGCTATGTGGAAGTGGCGGCGAATTTCACAACGGCGGCAAGGACCTGGAATTCTACTACATTCGGGAATATCTTCTCGAGAAAACGACGATTATTAGCGCGGATAGGAGGGATCCAAAGAAGCAGTCAATATCCTTCGAGCACACACCTTCGTAACCTGGAGGGGGATCTTTGAGTAGAACTTGATGCCGTGGTTCGACAGGAAGAGATCCTCTTACTGCAAAATTCTGACCGGGAGTGGTCCTTTTTAAACGACAGAAACACCGCCTACTTCCATAGGCAACTTAAACACCGGCGGCGTCGGGGACGAATTCTGGAGCTTTGTCACGAAGATGGGTCCTTGATCACGGACCCAACTGCGCTTCGGGATTTGGCGACTGACTATTTCAAAACAATATACACCGATAATGGGCCTTCCCCAGTCTGGGCCCTTCTACATGTTGCCATTCAGCCGAGCCAGGTCTCTTCTCTGGAATCACTGGCCACTGATATTACTGATGACGAGATTTCTTGTGCATTACGAAATATGGGGTCGCTTAAAGCCCCTAGCGTGGATGGGCTCCATGCGCTTTTCTTAAACTGAACTGAAAGACTGTCGACGCCTCTGTTCGGGAATTTATTCGTCGCATGTGGAATGAGGGTAAGGTCCCGACTAGTGTGAACAAAACTCTTCTCATATTGATACCATTAAAGGTGGAGAAGCCGACCACCATTAAGCAATTTCGACCGATAAGCTTGTTGAATGTGGTTTATAAATTATTCACCAAAGTCATGGTGAATAGGATGAAGGGCACACTGGCTGAGTTGGTCCACCCGGTGCAAGCTAGTTTTGTTCCAGGCCGATACGTTACTGATAATATTATTATTGCTCAGGAACTGATCCATAGCATGAGCACTCAACGTGGAGGTAAGAAGTATATGGTGATTAAAGTTGATCTTGAGAAGGCTTATGATTACCTCAAGTAGGATTTCATCGAAGAGACCTTGACTCTTGCGGGATTCCCTCAGAAGCTAACAAAGGCGGTGATGGCCGGTATCCGCTCAGCATCGATGAGTCTGTTGTGGAATGGAGAGATATGTGATGAGTTTACGCCATCCCCGAGGCATCCGCCGAGGAGACCCCATTTCTCCCTACTTATTCGTACTATGTATGGAGCGACTGGCCCACCTCATATGTCAGCAGGTCGAAGGGTCACTGTGGCGACTAATTTCTGTGGGGCGTGGGACAGTTCCAGTTCCTTTCTTGATGTTCGCCGATGACCTCATGCTTTTTTTAGAAGCTTCGGACGACCAAGTACGTACTCTCAAACAGGTCTTAAGTCTCTTTTGCGAGCCATCGGGCTTCAAGGTCAGCTCCGAAAAAATGCAAGTGTTCTTCTCCAAGAATATCGAGGGGCAAGAACGGTCTCGTTTGGCAGCACTGCTACAGTTCAAGTTGACGAGTAGCCTGGGCAAGTATCTTGGAATGTCGATGGTGAATGGAAGAGTGACTAAGGACACGTATGCTCATATTTTGGAGAAAGCGGAGTCCAGGCTTGTCGGCTGGCGTATGAAGTCGCTCTCGATGGCAGGACGGGTGACCCTCACTCAATCGGTGCTAAATGCCTTGCCGTATTACGCGATGCAAACAACTAAACTCCCTTGTGCCATCACAGACGGGCTTGAGAAGAGAAGTCGCGCTTTTGTTTGGGGCAGCTCCGAGGCAAAACGAAAGGTTCATCTAGTTGCTTGGCCCGATGTGTGTCGTGCTAAAGTTGCGGGTGGCCTTGGATTTAAACATCTTCGACTAATGAACAATGCTCTCTTGATGAAGCTTGGTTGGGGCCTCATGACCAAGCCCGACGCTCTGTGGGTGCGTGTACTCCGGGCAAAATATAACCTATCACTCTCAACCGAGCTGGGACATTTTAATGGCCGCCCACTCTCAACGCTGTTGCGAGCTCCTATCTCGGTCTGGCCGCACGTTGTGGCCGGGACGCGATGGGTTGTTG